AACGTTTTGCTAAACTTCTCATTTTAAAGTAATCGCAGACTCACACTCAGTTATAAGGGAAAATGCGGAGCGAGCCCATGTGGCCTCGAGCGGTTTCTCCACGGTGGTGACATCTTTGAACAGGACGGTGCGACGTCAGGACCCGGATGCGGTCCAGACACAGCAGGCTCGGTCCCCACAGGGTCCCTCACGCTGCGTCTCACGGCCTCGCCCCCTCTCCTCCACCCCGCCCCGCCTTAACCGCCCCCGACCACCTCGGGCCTCCGTCCTGTGGTTCTGCCATTTCGAGGGCGTTCCGTGAGGCCAGGCGCACCGTGGGTAACTCGGGCCGGCCTCGTCCACGGGGCAGTGTCCTCTGGAAGTCCACCCGGGTCCTCACCGCATGGCCGTCACGTCAGTCCCTCTCGTTGCTGAGTCACGACCCAGGGGCCTGACCACCGTTTGCGTAGCTGGTCACCCACGGAAGGGCGCCTGGGTCGTCGCCAGTTTGGGGCCGTTGCAGATAAAAGTGCTGTCAATGGCACGCACAGGTTTTTGTGCGAACGTGAGGTTTCACTGCTCCGCTCGAGTTCAGTCGCGACGGTAGTTACAGAAGCCACTAACCCGTCCCGGAACAGAAAAAGGACGTTAGTGGAAAATCCAAATAAATCTGGGGTCTGGTTAATAATAATAATTTTCCAGTTTGGGGCCGTTGCAGATAAAAGTGCTGTCAACGGCACGCACAGGTTTTTGTGCGAAAAGAGCTGCAAAGCGTTGCCCAGCGTGGCTGTGCCACTTCACACTCCGACGTGAGCGGCCCGGTTTCTCTGTCTCCAGCAGCATCTGGGGTCGTCGCCGTCTTTAATTCCGGCCCGTTTGATACACATGCGGTGACATCTCACTGCGGCTTTCGTTCACGTTTCCTTCCGGCTGATGATGCGCAGTATCTTTTCACACCCTTTGCTCCGTCCGTGTGTCGTCTCCGGTAAAACACCTGCCGGCACGGCTTGCTCGTTCTCACACTGGGTCGTGTCGTTTGTACTGTTGAGTTTTGACGGTTGTCTTCACATTCTGCAGCAAGTCTTTGTCAGATACGCGGTCTGCACACATTTCCTCCAAAACCGGAGCTGGTTTTTTAATCCCTTTAGCATGACCTTCCTCGGAGCAAAGGTTTCGATTTTCATGACGTGTATCAATCTTCCTTTTAGGGGTTGTGTTTCTCGGTGACAAATCCAGGAATTCCCTGCCTCGTCCGGGGCCCTGAAGATTTTCTCCTATTTTTTTCTAAAAGTGCCATAGTTTTACAATTTAATCCGTGGTCCATTTTGCGTTAACTTTAAGGTCGGCGGTGAGGTTTAGGTCAAGGCTCACCTTTCCGCTGCGAGTGGTCAGCTGCTTCAGCTCCGCTCGTGGAAAGATTCTCCCCACGGAAGTGCCTTCGGCGTGGGCTCGCTCGTGCGGGTGTGCGTCCGGGGTCTCTGCTCGGTCGCCTTGATCCCCGTGTCTGCCAGCATCGTCCGGTCCCCATCACTGCGGCCATACACGCAGTAGGTCCCGAAGTCAGAGTGACCGATTCCTCCCAGCTTCCCTTCCTTTTCAAAAGTAGTTAGCTATTCTAGTTTCTTTGCATTTTCATATAAATGTTAGAAAATCTTGTCTATTTCTACCAAAAAAAAAAAAAATCCTGCTGGGGTTTTGATAGGAATTGTGCTAAATCTGTATATCGATTTGGAGAGAATTGATATCTTTACAATGTTGAGTTTTCCAAACCATAAACTTGGAAGGTCTCACCTTTTACTTAAATCTTCTTGATGTCTTTCATCATGTTTTGTGGTTTTCAGAGTACCACCTGAGCATGTGCTTTCTTATATTTACACCTAAGTTTTTCTAGGTGTTTTGTAAATGGCATTGTGATTTTAATTTCGGCGTCTCCATGATTATTGCTATATTGTAAATATAGTCCATTGCGTATGTTTATCTTGTACCTTGTGACCTTGATGAGCTCGCTTACTAGTCTCAGGGGATTTTGTGGATCCCTTGGAATTCTCTACGTAGACAATTATGTCATCGGCAAACAGAAACAGTCGTATTTCTTCCTTTCCAATCCTCATGCCTTTTACTTCCTTTTCCTGCCTGGCTGCCCTGGCTAGAGCTTCCGGCTCTATGCCGAGCGCGAGCAGTGAGAGCCGACCCCGGCTCCGTCAGTCTCCGCCACGAAGCCTTCGGTCCTTCACCGTGAGATGCAGTGTTACCTGTGGGTTTCTTCCAGGTGTACTTTATCAGCACGAAGACATTCCCCTCTGTTCCTGTTCCGAGAGTTTTGTCATGAACTGCTATTGAATTTTTTCAAGTGCCTTTTATGAATTAATCGATAAGCTCATACGATTTTTTTTCCTGTGGCCTGTTAATATCGTAGATCACATCGATTGATTTTTGAATATTGAATGAGCCTAGTAACCCCCCTTGATCTCGATGTATAATTTTTTTATATGTATTGCCGAATTCTATTTGCCAGTATTTAGTTAAGGACTTCGCATCCGTGTTCATGAGGGCTATCGGTCTGTAGTTTTTTGTCGTTATCTTTTTCTGCATTTGGTATCGAGTTAATACTCCCTTCATAAAATGAATCAGGACGTGTCCCTCCTCTCCTATTTTCAGGCAGACATTATTTAGAATCACGTTCATTCCTCTTTAGATGTTTGGTGGGATTCTCCAGTGAGACCATCGGCACCTGGAAGCTTCTTTTTCTAAATTAGAAACTCAGTTTCCTCAACGTTGGTTCAGGTTACCGATTTCCTCTTGAACGGATGTGGTCGTCTGTGCTTTCCTAAGAATCTGCCCATTTTCGCCTGAGACGCCAAGCTCCCGTGCACAGAGCCGTGGGTAGTGCTTCGTCGCGGCCTCGCGCGGCTGGGAGGGCCGTCGCCGCGTCCCACCCTCACTCCCGGTGCTGGCGATCGTGTCTTCCCTCCGTGTGTGCGCGCCGGTCTCGTCACGGGTTTATTTACGGTTTCAAGGAGCCGGCTGTTTCTGGCTCCGCTCTCCACACCGGCCGTCCGCTGTCTGTCTCGTCATTTCCTCCCTCCCGCTTCTGTCGTGGGCCCGTGTGGCTCTTCTTTCCCCGAGTTCGCAGATTATCGAGCTGAGATGGTTCCTCTCTCCTAATATAAGCGTCCAGCGCTATAAATACCCCCGGCTAAATTCTGATGTGTTGTATTTTTCATTTTCACTCAGTGTAATGTCTTTTTAAATTTCTCTCGAGACTTCCTCTTTGATCCATGGATTACTCACAAGCGTGCTGTTTGATTTCCAAGTGTTTGGCCATTCGGCTGCTATGTTTCTGTTATTGATTACGCGTTCGATTCTCGTATGGTCGGAAAACGTACTCTCGACGGCTTCGGTTCTTCTAAATCAGTCGAGGTTTTCTTCGTGGGCGAGGGCACAGCCTCGTAGGCGCTATGTGTTCCGGTGTTAGGTCCTCAATCCATAAACGTCGATGGCTTGATGGCCTTATTTATCTCAAGACTTTGAGCTCATTCACTCTCGAAAGCTGTGTGATGCATGCCATCGTGGAAGATTCGGGACGAGTGATCTAAAATCCTGCCGATCCACCGAGGAGGCCCGCGAAGCCTCCTCACCGGTGCTGCTCGGCACCAGAGCCCCCGTCTTTCTTCCCCGCTAGGTGTGTCAGGCCCTCGGATCGGCACGTGGCTCCGTCAGAGGCTCTTGGCTGATGTTTTCACTTGTGCACTTTCAAGAGAGATGACAAGATGGCGTTTTTCTCTTCTTCTCATCGAGTCGGAATGCGAAAGCCAGGGGGAGCCTTGGGCCATCTGGCCCACACTTTCTTTGGGCAGGTGAAGGGTCGAGGTCTCAGGGAGTTCATTTAGATCGAAGAATTCTTTAATGAAATTAACATATTCACTATAGGAATGTATACGATATAGAGAAGCAAATATCAGAAAGTAAAATTTTCATACGATCTTACAACCAAAAAATAAGTACTCTTATTATACTGCAGTGTATCTATCTTCCCAATGTTTTCAACAGTAGGACCACACCGGCTTACTGTTTTCAGCCCACTCGTAGACGTGACCATTTTCCAAGGTCTTACTTCTAATGGCAGAATGCGATTCCGCAGTACAGATACGCCATCGTTTATTTACTGTCCCCTACGTGAAGCAATACTGTGACGGCCGCCTCTGTGTACATACGCGATGATTTCCTAGAAATGGGGACACGAGATCGGAGCAGATGAACCTTTCCGGCCTTCGAGCCCCGTTGCCGAGCTGGATGAGTGGGATTTTGGTCTTGGTGGAGGGTTAGGCGTGGAGTCAGCACAGATCTCATGAAGTCAGGTCTAAGCCTCAGGATTTTAGGGCGTGAACTGACGGCCCCCCAGAGCCAGGAGGGGGTCCCTGCCCGAGAGCATGGGCTTGCTGGGAGGGACAGGCCTGCGGGCACCCACACCTTCCTGTGAGGTGTCCGGCACTGGGCCGGTTGGGAAACAGGAAGCGAGGCAGGTTATACTCAGCCCGGGACCTGGGCCTTGTAAAACCCACCCCTCGCCCAGTTTTGCGTGCCAGGCAGCAAAGGGACAAACTCTGCCGTTTCCTCTTCTGACCAAGAGAACACCGTGTGTGTTTTGCGCTTGAAATAAGCCCTGAGCTCCCTTTGTCACATAATTGCCCCCATAAAACGCTCAGTGAAAACTTGCCCTGCCGAGAGACCGTCCTGCCTGCTTTTTATAGCTGATGCCAGCGAGCGGAGGGGCCGTAGCCCTGGTCACTCTGCAGAGAGGCCATCAAGAGACAGGTGGGTGGCCCGGCACTCGGGG